CCCCTTCATCCCTAGGCAAACTGCCCAGGCCAGGATGTGGATGGGAACTGTCAACAGACACTCTTTAAATATTTACCCACACTTTCTCAGGGGAGGGGGGTTCCCCTCATCCCAAAGGCTGGACAAATTCAAGGTAATTCTAATGGATAAAAAAGAACCTTAGTTCATTAGTATCCTTTCCTGGCCACAGTGTATACAGTTATGTGGGCTTGACATAGAAAAAAGAGAAAGTCGAGAGAGAGAGAGAGAGAGAGAGAGAATGTGTGTTGTGTGTGTGTGTGTGTGTGTGAATGAAGAAGATCAATAAGAACAATTGTTTTCCTGTCCTCTCCCTTAACACTGTACATGGTTGTTAAAAACAGGGCCACCCTGGACACACTCAGGACACACACACACACACGCACACACAATGAATGTGCCGCATCCTCACCTTAAGACACACCAAGTGTAATGTCTCCTTTAAACTAGCACATACATTTTCAGAAACAATCCTGACACCTCACTGTACTCATACTATGCACACAGTACAGAGACACTGTACACACACGTGCACACCAGGCACATGTGCGCATAATGCTTGACACAGATGCGATTTTTTTGCATCTTTACAGCAAAGGGAAAAATGACTACCTGTATTTATTTCACATCCTGGGGTTTCAGGGTTGAATGAGGAAGGAGGTGGTTAGAAAGCCAGATCTTTTCCTTTCCCATCACCATCCGGAGCCCAGCTCTGGGGTGGTGAGGGAAGAAATCGCAGTGTATGGTAGGATGGAAAAGATACAAATGAGGCACCCCACTCCCCGCCACCCCCCCCATGCCTCTATTAAATAATTGCTGGGGAAATGGTCAGTCTGTGCAAAAATTCCCAAAGGAGATTCACTGATGTCCCAAGAAAAGGTTCCCTTGCATTTTTAGGGGACTCACCGCCATCTGAGTGAGGGACTGCTCAAACTCTTAAAGGCACCCAGAACTCTGGCCTTGGAGCAGCAGGAGGGAAGGGTCACAAGAGGACTGTGCCAGGGCCACAAGCCTCCCTAGGGGCGAACCATAGGGAGGGAGGGACATAGCATGGCTCTCAGAGCCTGCTGCATCCCTGGCTTCAGCCCTGCCATTTCTGAGGCTGCTCTTCGGGTGCGGGGATGAACAGAGTGGACTCTGAGCTCCCGGCATCTGGATCACTGGGGACTGTCATAAATACTTTTCTCTTCTCTGCCTGGAAAGAGGAGGCTCAGAGGGCCGGATCCTCTCTGGGGCCTGCGCCTTATCTTTTAAGGGGTGGGGGAGATATTTAGACATTTTATGGTCCAGCGAAAACCCTGCTACAGAGCTATTCTTCAGGGCCTTTGTGTCTTGGAATGCGACTGTCCTGAGTGAGCGGCCACCACTGCCTGTCCGGAGAACCCCTGGTCCAAGCCAGAAACCCATGGCTGGACTTGATTTCCCCTTTGGGGAGATGGGAAATCCCTTGACTTTCATTTGATTTATTATTTTTCAATATGTGTTTATGCATCTGTTTGTTTTTGGCTTTTGCACGTATCTCGTTTATTTGGCTCCCTGAGCCTTGGAAATAAAGGAACCGCAAGCAGCCATCCTCGCCGGGGGCCCATCTCTGTCCCTCTCCCAGAGGCCTGCACCGCCCTCTTAGGTACCACGGATTTATGTGCGTTTTTCCGGGTCATTCTGCCTTTCTGTGTTAATTATGCCGTGCCTGCTTCGCACTTATCTCCTCCTCCACCAAGTGATGATTATTCCCCCCCCCATGCCTACCCTCCGCCTTGCGAACCCGCTGCCAGAATGAGGGCTCGTCTCTCGCTGCCACTCGCAAATTATTTACACCTAGCAGGTGAGAGGATTGATTTGCTCAGAGCCAGTGGGGTCCTGGCCCGGCCGGGACTGAGAAGCGGGGCCTTCTTCTTGGCTGCCGCTCCGGCTTGCTCGCGGTACAGCCTCCAATGTCAGTGCGGCCAAGCAGGCCGGGGCAACGCGGCCTCTAACATTGAGCAACAGCGCCACCTCGCGTCCACTTGCTCCAATGCAATCCGGCTCAGAAAAAGCCAACAGACATTGATCCCAGCTTGGCCCAAAGGTGAGAAGTGGGAGAATTTTTTTAAAAAAGAAAAAAAGCTTCCACAATGGGGTGCAGAGGAGAGATTCTCTGGTCAGACAGGGAGCTGCCCTGGAACGGTTGTTCTTTTGTTTTTTTATACGGTCTTGAAATAAACCTGGTGAAAGGTTCCACACTGTTCTTTCCTTTTTGTTAATCCTCTCCCTTCTTGCATTAAGAGACACTGTGCAAAGGAATGGCCACAATCTTCCCTCTACTCCGGCGCTTTACTGGCTCGGAACACCTTTGCGCACGCGGACGCACGAACCAAATCCCCAACCACCACCACTACCATGCCTGGCCTGCCTGCTCGAGGCGCTGTACCCTAAAACTTCTCCTTCTTCTTACCCTGATGCTGCCCCCACCCCCGCACCGCCCATTCCGCCGTTGCCTACAGGACTTTGGGGTGGGGACTCTTCAGATTGTTTTGCCCCCTGGTCTGTAGCCCATCCCTCGTGCGCGCGCGCCGCGAGACCGCGCGCTCCTGGCTCTCCACCTCTCCCTCCCAGCCAGTGAGGTCCTGTTCTCCGTTGGGGCATAGACAAAACATTCCTATAATCCGATTTCAAAGGAAAGAGTGTCCACCTTATTTAAACCATAAAACAATTAAGCCCAGACGTCTAGCCAGCTCCGCGCTGCTGTTTTGTTCGGGCCCCATTCAGAACCCAGAGCTGGGAGACAAACAGGGCCATAAAAGTGGCATTTCGGGGCTGCGGAAATGTACCTATCCACTGCCTTCCCAAGTGGAACAACCTTTAGGGTTTTGTGATTCTGACAAAGGAGCAGAGGAGAGGTGGGAGGGGAAGGTTAGGGGAGGAGGGCGGTCACTAACCCCCTCTCTTCCGCCTGCTTTCATTTCTTTCCCTAGATATGGATCGTGGTTGTTTTTAATTCATAAATGATCCGGAATAAAATTGAATCCGATTCCCGACCCTGAAGGCTGGAGGCTGGGATTCAATAGTGGACCGGGCAGGTTCCCACGCGCTTGTCAGCGTCCTCCAAGCCCTGCAGCCCTCCTTTCCGTCCCAGCACAAGGCCGGTTCCGGCGGGCAGGCTGCGGAATGCAGGCCGCGCTGACCAGCTCGGAAGGGAGGCGACAGGGCCTGGGAGCAGGGGCGGGGTGGAAGCCCGGAAACACCGCCGAGCTTGGGCTGGGAGACAAGCCCGTGCCCTGGCTGCTCTGACCCGGGGACAGAGGGGGGTGTCTTGGCTTCCATCAAGAGTGGAATTGGGGCCAGCTTCCAGAGCAGCCAAGAGGCCAAAGGCCAGAGCAAAGAAGTGAGAAAAAGAGAAAACTATAGGCAAAGCATCCTTCCAAAGGACCAAGAAAACAATGCTTCTGGGATTGGGGATGAGGTCTCTAAACCGGAAAGAATGTTCCAGCGACAGCTTAAGGCCTTTGCTGCCATTTCATTGTACCACCAAATAGTATCTGAACAAAAATGCTTCCTCCCTTCTACCTTCCTCCAAATACCCCAAATTGGAGTGTTTAATAGGGAAGGTCAGGAGATGCAAATAATGGGGGAAGAGACTGGTCTCCATAGCATTTCACCAATCATGAAAGGTGATGCTTTGGGGGAAAGAGCATATGGGCCGTGGCCCCCCAAAATATTTTTTAAACCACTGTATCCTTGGGTATTCAGAATGACACCCTGTATTCTCAGCAGAATGGGCAGCTTGAGATATTAAAGGGCTATATTTCAAGCAGTCTGATTTTAATAGTTTCCAGATTGGGGGATTTCCGAGAAAAGGGGCGCTGGGCCGAGGCATACCCGGCAGCTCAAGTCTGCTTCTGATTAACAGATGAAAACTGCTGGTTCTAGAGAAGGAGCACTGGGGTTCAGCATAGCCAAGAAGCCCCAGCAAGCTGTTACACACACATCCCCACACCTTTTGTGCTTGGGGTCCCACAGCCACCAGGGAGCACCCCACTACTGGCTAATTCTTCATCAGCATCCTTAAGATCCTGGTTTGGCCATCCCCTAGGAGTGATGCAGCTTCTTAGCATGACCCTGGTTACCCCTTGCCTCACCAACATCCAAACTAAACACCACAGAGACAGAGACAGATAGACAGATATAGAGACAGAGACACAGAGACACACAGACAGACACAGACAGAGACAGACACAGGGAGAATAAAGTAAAAAGACCTAGAAGTGGAGCTGAGAATGAATTGAAGAGTAGAAACTCAATTTCATTTTAATTGTATTGACTTTACCATCTTCTTCCTCCCTGCCTCCCTCCTTCCCTTCCCTCTTTCTTTTCTTCCCTTCTTTTGTCTTTTCTTCTACCTTTCCTCCTCTTCCTCTCTGCCCTTTCCTTCTCTCTGTCTCTCCAATCCCTGGAGCCTATCTTGATCCCTAGGGGCTGTAAGGCCTTCCTCCAAGCCAAATATCCCTATCAGCATCCAGTCCCAGACATCTCTCAAAGCACCAATGCACCAATGCAACCCGGCAAGAACCCAGCCCAGGCCTTCACCCAGCACCCAACTTTTATCCTCACCTATCTCCTCTCCAATCTCATGTACTCATAAATTATTACAATTAATTACAGTCAAGGAAAACCATTCATGCTTGCAGCCACCCCCCACCCCCACCCCAACACACTCCATCTAGCCATCAGAAAACTTGTAGGCAGCCAGCCAGGGCAGGCACAAACTAGGCCTCCACTTCAGCAGCCTCCACCCCTCCCCTGCACCCCTACCCCCACCCTGCCCTGTTTGGAGAGAAGCGGCAGGCTTTTGCCCTTCCAAGGTAGAAGAAGCCCCTTCTGTGGCCCCAGCCTTCCCCTAGAGGATCACACCACTTGCCTCCTCCAAAAACAGCAGCCTGGGAGCCACAGGGAGGAGAAATAACGAGAACTAGATACAGTTGGGTTTCTGGGTTGTTTTTTTTTTAAGTGACTTCGATATATTAACACAGAGCTGTTCTACCATAACAAACAGAAGCACATTACAGGACGGACGCTGGGGACAGCCGCTGGGGGTGAGAGGGGACACTGCTATATACACGCCCGAGGCACCGGCCTGCGCCGCCCGACCCAGCCTGCAGCTCAGTCCTGGCCCTCGCCCCTCAGCTCCAGGGCTGGAAATCATCTTTGTGTGTGTATGTGTCTCTTTTTTTTTGTACAAAACTGCACGCAGAGTGCCCAAGGCCCAGGAAGGGATGGCCTGAACCAAATATGATACAGGAGGAAAAAATTAGAAATATAGCAATTCAAGTACTGGCTTCTCTGAAGAAAGGAGAAAAAAATCACATTTGTGTGTGTCATTTATTTCAGTTGCGCTGGGTTGAGAGAACGTAGTTTCTCTGTTTCTCTCCTGCCTTCTCTCCTCGATGGATAGAACTAACTCTAAAACATCAATTTTTCAACACTTAACCCTCCCAAATTGCAAGAGTTTTCCTTTTCCCCCTCCTCTTTTTTTTTTTTTCCTTGTTAAGCTGCTTGACTTTTTCTCTATCTTGCTCTTTCCTTTTCTTTCGTGCTTTCTCCCGCCTGGGTTGGGATATTTTTTGTGGGGTTTTTGTTGTTCTTTTTTATTATTATTATTCTCTTGGCTGGTGCCGAGGCAGCAGGCTGGGGCAGGTTTTAGGATTGCTCCTTGTCGGTTTTCTCTTTATTCATCTTTTTCATCTTCATCCTTCGGTTCTGAAACCAGATTTTGACCTGCCGCTCGGTGAGATTGAGAACCCGGGCCACCTCATACCGACGGTCCCTGGTTAAGTACATATTGAAGAGAAACTCCTTCTCCAGTTCCAGCGTCTGGTACTTGGTGTAGGGGCAGCGCTTCTTCCTCGTGGAGCGGGCGTGGATCCAGTTGGCCACAGGGTTGCCTAGAGGGTCAAACACAGACAGGGGTCAGTGGAGCCCCTTTCCAGCTCAGAACCTCAGCCACCCAACCCCCAAGCTTACCCAGGCTCCCCAAACCCAATAATTGAACCTGAATTTGGACACTTTTTTTTTTTTTTTGCTTTAGAAAATCTCTCCCTTTTTCCTTTTGCATCCTACCCTCTCCTCAGTTCCCCTTCCTCATCCGGTTTTCCAGCACCTAAAACTATAGGAAATCCAAAGCTATCCGAGTCCCTCTGGTCTAGTCCTCAGCTTCAAGAGTAGTAATTCGAGAATATCCTCATAAAAAGTCCAAATTCCCAACCGTTTCATAGGCCCATAAACGCTTCTCTCTCTTGTTTTTTATTTTTATAGCGAGGTCTCTCTCCTCCCTACCTCCCTCCTCCTCTGCCCCCTCCCACCCTCCCAGCCCACGACCAAGTCCTGAAATTTCAGCAGTCCCTCCTGACCCTCAAAGTCCCTAAACCTCTCACCTCTTTCCACTACTGCCTGTCTCCCGCTCAGAGTTCAACCCTGCTGAGGCGAATTCTCAGGGTGATGCTGGACTAGGCAAGTCTTTCTCCTCTCCCCAGAGAGCTGCTGGCCTTGGGGACAAGGCTCCCCCCCATCTCAGCTTCACCATCAGCCTCCAGTGCCCACCCCCCCCTTCTGCCAGCCCCAGGACAGGCTCTCCAGGAGCTGAGCCTCCAATTTCAGGTTTATGGGAGTAGCTGAGGGTAGGGAGGGAAGCCTTCAGAGAGGTATAATTAGGCCCTGGCTTCTTATGGGGATAGAGGAAAAGATTTCCTGAAGCCCCTCCTGGAGTCCCAGACACTTCCTCACACCTAGGAGTACTGCACCCCCTCCTTGCTGCTTTTCTTCTTTCCCCCTTTCTTGAGTTCTGCAGCTCACACCTGCCCCTCACCTACCTCTAGCCACCTCTTCTTTGCAATACTCAGAAGGCTCCTGTCCCCCCTGATTTAAGTGTGTGTGTGTGTACAATCATGTGTAGAATAATCCATGATCCCTCCCCCTCCATGCTTAATCTTTCTCTGCAGAACCTCAGAAGAGGGTTCTCAAGTTTAAGGAGACTTAAATCTCACTTCTCTCTGGAAGAGTCCTGATCTCTCTAAGTTTCCAGGCAGTGAAATCCCCAGACCCCTCACCCAGTGCTCCTGGAGCAGTCAGTGGACCTTCTTGTGTTTTATGAATCGCTAGTGGAGTGAGGACCCCCATGCTCACTGGCAGATAGGGATAGTTTTTCCTCTCTGAACTATTTACTCTACCCCCCCCCTCCAGAGTCCTCCTCACTTCTCTCCTGTCCCATCTCAAACCATAAAATGAGCCTCACCCCCTTGCCCCAGCTCCTGGATGTATTTTTCTTGGAAAGTGGCAAATGAGCCCCCCCCAAAAGAGCCTGGACCAGGAGGAGGGGGGGTCAAGGGGGTCTCTCATCAGAGCCAAGCCCCTGGGAGAGGAGTCCCCCCCCTCGGCAGCCCTCTCCCAACCTGGCTGCTTGGGCCAACCCCCCCTCCCCACTTCTTAGACCTTCCTGTCCCTGAAAGCTTCCCCAAGGTAATTCGCTTTTATTGAGTCCTCGCCCCCCTCGCCCTCTCTCCCGCGCTCCCCTGCACCGCTCCGAGGGGCTGTAATCCGGCTGCCCCCCTGCCTGTCCTCCCCTCCCCTCCCGCGCCCGGTTGTAAAGGAAAATTGCTCCCAACTTACTGGGGTCCAGGTCGGCCTTCTCCTCTTTGTGCTTGCTGCCGGCGAGGGCGTCCGCCTCGGGCGAGGGCAGTGTCTGCGGGGCGCGGTCGCGCAGCTCCCCGGGCGAGCCATACATGTAGTCCGGGTAACTGCGGCCGTCGCCCGGGCCGCAGTCGGTGCGGCGCCCGGGATAGGCGTCCGGTTTGAGGGCGTAGTGACGACCCCCGGCCGGGAAGCTAGGGAAGGAGACGGCGCCGGACAGCGGCTCGAGCCAAGTCCGCATGTAGCGCGTGTCGGCGCCGAGGTGGGGCTGGGGGCCGTACGGGTGATAGACCACGGACGACTGCGAGGGCACGGGCGCCCACGACGTGCTGAACACTGCCGGCTTGGGCGCGAAGCTACAGGACGGAAAATCGCTACAGTCCGGCACCAAGCCGCTGGGTCTGGCGGCGGCGGGGTGAGCCCCCGTGGCCGGAAACCTGGACGCTAGGAGGTCTTCATTGTCGTGGGAGATGAGCGAGTCCACGTAATAGTTACTGATGGGCCCCGTCGCCGACATCGTAACGGGGTTTTACATACATAAGATTATTGTATGAACTGTATATGTACTTTTTATCTGCTCACAGAACAATCAAGGCAGGTAATTATTTTTCCAGCCTTTTCCCGGCAGCTCATTGGCTCTCCAGCCCCCACGTGATCGTATTTACCCAAAAATACGGCGCGGATCAATGCGCAGGGGCTTTTTTTTTTTTTTCCCCTCTGCCCTGGCTTTTTTTTTCTCCCCCCCCCTCACCTCAACCCCTTCTCTCTGCTGATCCCCGCGACCTGCGCTTTCTTGGGGGTCTGCAACTAGAAGACCCAAGGCGCCTGCCAACCCCCCCCCAGGACGGCTCACGTCTCATCAGGGAACCCCCCCTGGCCCGTGTCCACCCGTAAGCAGATGGCTCCCCCCTCCCTATCACGAAGATTTTTTTAATGGGGGTGAAAATGCCAGGTCCACCCCCTCCTCGGGGTTCCTGGACACCCCCCAGGGCCTGAGCTGGGCGAGGGAGCCCCCATAGGGGCGGGGAGGCCGGCCGAGGTAGGTGGAGGAACTATTTCTTGACGTAATCTGTCTCTGTCGGCCCCAACGCTCCCGCAGTCTCTCAGCGAGCCGAGATCAGCGATTGTCAGTTCGGAACGTGGCTTTTAAAAATGCGTTTTTAAATAGTGTGTATGTATGTATTTCTTTCAGGAGCAGCAGCAGCAGCAGCAGCAGCAGCGAGGGAGGGAGGTGGGAGGGGACTGGACAAGCTAGGATGGAGGGAGGGAAGGAAAGGAGGAGAAGAGAAGCGTCCTCTTGCCACTGGCCAACTCAGCCCCCCAAATCTAGGGAAGAGAGAAGCTTGGGGGAAGATGGTGTAAAGGTGGGAGGGGTAGAACTTCAAGATCGCGAACACCTTCCTCATCAGCCCCAGAAACCTTCTCTTTGCTTTGGCACAGATACACAAGCGCCTTTATTTTAAATTTATTGTCTCTTATGTTTCTTTGCCAGCTTGAAGAAGTGGAGCAGAGATCTGCACAACTTAAGTGAGGCATCCCCATCCTATCTGCCTGCTCATCCTCTTTGGTCCCCCCACAACTTCATCTCTGCGACACCCTTCCCCCCAAAAAACCCCCCAAGAAGTCACTCCCGGGTTCTGTCTGCAGAAAGCCAGGGTGAGAAGCGGGCAAGGCGAGAGAGCGACCTCGGTCGTGGGCAAGTAGCTTGTTTTTACGTCCTTCAATAAAAATTTTATGAGGATCATTTGATTGTTCATAAATGTGTCTTTCATTAAATAAAATTGTAGGCTGTTTTTGGAACGGGAAAAAAGCAACGGAGGGATGGGAGAAAGCAGTTTCTTTGGGGTCGGATGCAGGAATTCCGGAGGGGGTTAGTATGATTGTAAGGAAATATTAGACAACTTGGATTCTGCCTCTTGCCCCCCTCAATTAGTTGCTACCCTCCTTCTTGAATTTGGGGTTTGTTTCACAGCCCTAGGCTTCCCATCAGACTATCCCAAGGTGGTTTAATAAATGGGGGCTAGAGGCTTTAGGTAAGCAGAAAAATCCTCAGTGTGAGCTGCAGGTGAAGGGGTAGGGAGGTTGGTTGGGGAAAGAGATGGGCAGGAGCTGTCCCTAGAGATGTGATGTACCTAGGCATGGCCAAGTGAGTTTGAAGGAGGGGTGCAATTTCAGGGTCAGAAAGAACAGACCCAGACTGTGCAAGAAGAAACAGACAGAAGCTCAGGATGCAGGCTCTGAAGGCAACAGAAAAGGCTTCTCAGACCCAGCCACCAAGCCTGCCCTTCTTCTCCCTCTCCTGTCCCCAAGAGGGGACCAAACGCTTAGGGTGGGGGCAGGGGCTGTTTTTCTTCCGTGTCACCATTGAGCTGTCTCCTTAGGGGTAGAGAAAGACTGGGGAGTCCAGTACAAGTGTTGGGGGCAAGAAAGTTGGGGGAAGTATACTGATGTAGCCCTCAGCATGGGTCCCCAGCTTGTCAGGCCCCCTTCTTGCTCCTCCCCCCGACCCTGTTCCTTTCTTTTCGGTCCAGCGGGGCTGGGATTTCCAGGCACAAGGGGGGGGGGACGAGAAAAGTGCCTGTCTGAGGAGAGGCCCTCATACCACTAAGCTCTCATTCAACTCCTCTGTCTTCTCCCTGTGGCTGGACTGGCTGGGAAACCCAAATTACAACAAGAAACAGAATATCTCTTTGGCCTTGATGTAGCTGTCAATCAAAAAATCTCTCCTTCTAGTTCAAGGAAGAGGCAAGGGGTTACAGTCCCTTTATAATGGCATTCTCCAACCTCCCCCCTCCCTGGAAGTCAGCACCTCCCCCAGCCCTGGGTGGCTGGGGACCCAGCCTGGCTCTTGGGCTGCTGCTGGCAGCAAGATCTTGTAGAGACATTTAGCCTTCAGCAGGGCCCGGGGCCAGACTGCTACCAAGAGGACATCAAGGGACACAGCCTGAGACAGCCTGAGACAGACCAGCTGAAACACGGCACCAGGCCCTATGAAAGAAGGAAACGGAGGATTCGAATGAAAAGGAAAAAAGGAGGAGAATCAGAGGAAAAGAGGAAAGCAAGATGAAAAAAGACAGAAGATCTGGAAAAGGAAAGCTTGCAGAGAGCAAGGAGGAGGCAGGGCAGCATACACAAGCAGGACAGGGCAGGGTGAAAGCTGGCGGAGCACAGCAGCCATGGCATTGTGCAGTTCGCTTGCTTGCCGGCCTTTGCCGGGGACCCGCTCCTGGCGCGGCAGTCACTTCTGTCTGGACACAAAGGAGGAAGAGGCCTCCTCTCCTGCCCCTCCTGGAGGACCTGCTGGGGTGGGTACCCTAGGCCTCCAGGATTTAGAATCCCATGTTGGCCCAGGCAGATAGCCCAGGAAGCTGGGGGCTGAGCCACATTCTAGTCAAGGAGGGAGAAACAGAAGGGTAAAGAGGTTTCATGCCTGCTGTTCCTTTGGCTTCTTCGCCTGGCGACAGAGCCTGTCTGCTCCAACCTCAGCTTTTCTAAAGGGAAGAGTCCTTACAGATTCTCTCCTATAGATCTCAGCTATTTGGGAGAGCCCCTCATATGGACTGCGTGGCTGTAAAGGGACACTCCCTTCTCTCTTACCCCCTTTGATGCCTTCTTTTCAACTTCTGAGCTGCCTGCACACCCAGCCTGCCTACTCTGAGGACTGCAGCAGCTGGGCAGTCAGGATCGCCATCCAGGCATCCCTGCTGCCGACAAATCCTCTCGTGAAGTCAAGGGAGAGATTGTCGCCTTCCTTCCTTTTGGAAGCAGGAACTCCGGACCCTCCCCACTGAGGTGCAGCACAGCTGTAGATCTGCAAGCAGGCCTCGCCCACAGCCCCCTCCTGGCCAATGTTCCATTTCTCCCTTGCCTCTCAGCGAAAGGCAACCTTGGGGAGGGGTCTGGAAAAGACTGGGAGTCCTGAGTCCACTAGGCCCAGGCCCCCAGGGTGCTATGAGTGCAAGTGGGTGGGATGTAGCCCCCCTCCCTTCCCACATTTGGAGGTAGGGTGGCAGAGCAGGCTCTGACATCTTCCAGACTTCTTCTAAATCCAAGCTTGTAGGTGTGGGGACCCCAGGAAGGGGCACCCAGAAGGAGAATATCATCTTCCTGGGGTTCAGTTACTTCTGCCGAATCTTTGGGAATATCCTAAAACTCTGTTTCTCAAGATCTCACCTATACCACAGCACTGCCTTCAGTTTTTCTCAGCCTTGCGGGGACAAAACCTGAAGCACTGGAAGGTAGCTGAGAGCCCCCGTTGTGGAGGAGGAACCCCAGCTCTACCTAGCAGCTCTGGGTTCACTCTAGTGGTTCTCAGCATTTACCTCCCACCTCACCCCTGGGCACAGAAGAGCCCCCTAAAGGAGGAAGCATCCTTATGCCATCACCTCAAACCTGGACAGCTGAGACCACAATCAAGCTAACATCATGGGAAGGACAGACAGACGACAGGTTGGAGTCCACCCCCTCCTCTGGTCCTGCATCTCCATTTTAGTGATTTAACCCCCCCTCCCCCGGCTCAATCCACACCGTCAAGTTCGGATTAAATTTAAAACAGGCTTTTCCCGGTGCCCCCAGCTGATCAGCCGGGCCTCCGTAGGAGGGGAACCCGCGCCCTGCTCCCCCAGCACCCGCCCTTGTCCTGCACGGAGGAAGCCGGGCTCCATTTGCTTTCATTTTCCGTCTCCCCCTGGAAATGGGCTCATTGCACCTCCCCGCCGCCCTCTTCCCCCTCCCCCCTCTTCCCTGCTTCCCGGCTTACTTTCCTCTGCTTCTCTCCGGATCCCCTCTTTGTGGGGGGGGGGGAGAGGAAAAAAAAACAAAAAAACACGGCCACACACAACTCCTAGCTCAGGCCTGCGCTGCTGGCAGCAGCAGAACCTGAGCTTCTCCTGCCTGCCGCGAGGAGACCCGCGTCTTGTCCCCACCCCAGGTGGGTACCCCGGATCCCTACTCGCCAGGAGGCAGAACCCTCGTCCACTCAAGCCCAGCAAGGAGTGCAGCCCCTCCAGGGCCTGTGAACGTGGCCCTCTGAACGCCACGGCCTGCCTGCCAGGCCTGCCTTCTCGCCGGCGACCCCCGCCCTGACTCTCCGCAGCAAACGGGGCTATTTCCGGCTCCCCCAACACGATCTGGTTTTCCAGCCTTGGGGAGTGGCTGGAGGAGGGGGGGGAGCCGCCCCCATGCTAGGGGCTGCTCTCTGCCCGGTGTCCTCAAGGGCCTGAGCGCCTTGTGTTACCTGATCTTTTGTGTGATGTATGTGTCGCAAGGAAATTTGCAGTGACTTTGGAGCCCAGACTGAGGAAGCGGAGGTGGTGAAAAAAGAGACAATAAGGGCTCCGAAGTACAATTAAGGGGCCCCCCTGAGCCGCTCGTCTCTCCCCCCCCCTCTCCCCACCCCGCCCTCCCTGCCCGACTGGGAGCTTGTCTGGCGTCAACTCTCAGGGCGACTGGCGAACCTGGAGCCGGAAACTCAGCCCCGTGGTGGTGGAGGGAGCCAGAGGACTCCGCACCCAGAAAAGAGGGTCACTCCCTCCCAACTTGGGGGCGCCGTAACCAAGCCCCGCTGAGTTGCACGAGAGAAGCAAATGAATGAAAGTGCACGTTCTGACGACGATTTCCCTCCCCACCCCATCACACTCTGATTTTGTTTTTGTTTTTCTCAGTCTTTAAGACAGAGAGCCCAGGGTTATTGGGGGAGACCATCTCAGACAGACAGTCCGACAGGCAAACAGGCAGGCAGACAGACAGGCAGACAAATCACATCTCCCAAAGCAGACAGACTCACAACATGAGTGTGAGCCTGAAATCATTAGACAGGTTCAACATTGCCGGAGACCTCTTTGCCAGGCCTGGCGGGCGCCGATTTCCCTACCTTCTCTCCCGCCAAGGCCTCAGGCAGAGACACCCAGAAGACTCGGTCCCTTCTTGGTTTGGTCCAATCCCGCCTCGGGAAGCGCCTTCGTTACCTGCTCCTCGGCTTCCCACGGCCACAGACACAGGGCAAGCCTGCCTCCCGCCGGGGGAGGGAAGCCCCGGCCACCACCGCAGCCGCCGCCACCCACCCACCCTCCTTCCCTCCCTCCCTCCTTCTCGCCCTCCCTCCCTCTCTCCCTCCCTCACGCGCTGCCGATCGCGCGGGGCCCTCCCGCGGGCAACCTGCTCTGGACCAAATCCAGGTATCTCCGAAAAAGACAGGGAGGAAAAACAAAATAAGGATCTCTTGTGCAGAAAAGAAAAGGAAACGCCTTAAATGCATTTATTTTGCATGCTCTGACCCTGGTTGGGACATAGCCCTGCCGCCGCAGAGGTGTGCGGGGCCTGCCTGCCCACCGCGCCTCCGAACACTGCGCGCTCCACTCTCCCGGGCCGCCGCCCCCTCGGCGGCTCAAACACCGGACAGACCTCAAGGTCCTTCCTACAGACTCAACATCCGGTTGCCGGCCATGCCGCTGACCACAGCCCTGGAGCCCCCGCTCTGCTCCGTCTACAGCCAAAGTCCACACACAATCCACCTTGTTGCTGCTCAGTCCGGACACTTCCTCCTAATCCAGCGGTCCTTCAGGCTACACTTGGGCAGGCCAGCCCTGCCTAGGACTTTTAACAAACAAAACAACAACAACAAATCTGGTCACCCTCCATGAGCTCTTTGCACTAACTAGCATTCTCAACCAGAGTCCCCACTCCCCAGTTGTTGCTGCTTTCCACCACCTCCCCCCCCCCTTCACCTGTTCCAGAGAAGGGTGGCAGCTGCTAGCAAGCCTGCCCGAAGCAAGGCCGATGGCCAGGGCCAGGGTGAGGTCCTGGGAAGGCCACAGCGAATTGACTGGGCTGAGCGGGAGCCCCCGCAGCCAGCGAGGTATGCCATAAACCAAGACTCTCCTGGGCGAGCTCTTGCCTTTTCCTCCTTCTCCCGCAAGTCTCCAACATTCGCAAGCGAAGAGTTCAGCTCTATAAATCCTGCTCCTCTTTCCCATATCATAATTAAAAAAAACCAGTAGGGGAGGTTTTAACTTTTATTGCGATTTCTAGAGTTGGGCTGCCGAGCATATATTAAGTTTACGCTTATGCGCTCTCGGCGGGGAGGGTCCTTTAAGAAATAAAAATCCATCTTAATATCCACAGACGAGAGAGATAATTTTTTCCCTCCTCTGCACGCTGTTCTTTCTGAAGACTCCCTTCTAGCGAAGCGAATAAATGATTACCGTCATCGCCTTAGCCATGATCCATAGCCCCAGGGCCCAGGGGTGGGCTCTGACCACCAGACTGGCCCTCACCTTGGCCCTATGAGACCTTGCTCCGTTCCTAGGGACCTAGAGAGGAAGGGATAGTCTGACCCCTGGCTCTGTGGTCACCTTTTGTAAGCCCACCCGCTTTGAAATAAAAATGAGGGCAAAAGGACCCAAAGCACTGGAGTCCTTCCTTGGTGAATTTCGGCCCATCGGGGCTGATACTTCTAAGTCAAATACTCTTGCACCCCGTTGCTGCCTGAGACTCTCTTGACCCCAACTAACTATATCCTGGGGGCCAATCTGAAGACTTGGGGGTTACTAGGTACTCTCAAGGCAGGAGAACCCCTTGTATGCCTCCCACCAGCTGGCCTGCCTTTCTGGAAACCTCATTTCCTTGGGAGCCATAGGGATTTGAGTACTCCACTCTAAGGGAAGAATATTTTCGTCCACAAAGGAATGGGGGACAGACAGACCGACAATTCTATGGGGAGTTAAAAGGTTTAGTCTCATTTTTTCCCTCTAGTTTTCACAGAAAGGAGTCAAAATCAATCTCTCTTCATATAAGAGAGAGAAATAAATACGTATGTAGATAAGTACATATAGAAGATTTGCAAACGCCTAGAGGAGACCCAGAGATAGAGACAGACCTACACTTATTCCAGGGTCACATGTATCACACATACCCTGCTCCAGCAAACCACTGTGCAGATATACCATTCTATGTATATATTTTGTTTGAAACATGATTTTATTCTCTATTTAAATTTTATAATGTTTTAACCATCATAATTATTCCAAAAGGAAGAGAGCCAAGAGCCTGACCTCTTCCTTTCAACCTTATTGTACAGTCTCTGTCTGAGAACAGAGGTGTATCTCCCAATTCTCTAGGACCCCTCATCCCACTTTTTTTTCACTGAAGGCAAAGAAATCTCTTTTAAGATTATTCTTGTAGCAATCAAGACCAGAATGGAAGAACCAGAGAGGGAAAGGGAGTAGATAAGGCTCTGCAAAGTTTCTCACTGCTCAGATTTCCCTTTACCCCATACTTCTCCCCTCCTCCCCTTGGCATCAATCAACAAACCTTCCCAGCAATATGGTAACCGTGGGTACTTGGTAGCTGCTGTTCACTCAGATATTTCCACACAACACAAAGACAACCAAATGCTTGATAGCCACAGAATGACAGGCACATAGACCAAGGCCTAAGGCAACAGATAGCTAGACAGTCCAAAGCCAGGCTTTTGCCCTGTTATCTCCCAGTAGGGTGTGTTGTTGGTAAGGATTTCTACTTGGACTTGGTAGTTTTCCTCTAACCTACTGACTCCCCACAGATGTCTTTCCCCTGGTGATGGAACCATAGACAGGGGAAGAAGTGATCAGGGCTATCGCTCAGAGTTCTTAACTCTTGGGACTTCAAGACACCTTACTTTTTGAATGAGCAGCTCCTAGCCAACTGAGACCATGTTCTCTCTTTGGAGGTGGCAGGTGGGAGAAGCTAACTATTCTAGAGACTCGGTCCTCTCTCTGTGCTCCTCTTTCCCCTAATGATTCTGCCCCACCCTGCTGTCCAACTGAGCTAGCCCCACCAGGCCAAACTCAAACTCCTGAATTTCCTTGGAATTGGCTGGACCTTCTTTGTCTGTCTCTATCAGCTGGGCCCAGGAGACAATAGCTGCTGGGGGGGAAAAAAACTCCTCTCCCTCAGTCACAGAGATTGGGACAGACTAAGGAGGGGACAGTATAAAGCAGGATTCTCCAGACTTGTCCACGGCCCCACTAGCCGCTTGTCCTCCTCAGTCTGCACCCATTTTTGTTTTATCTAGGAGGGGGTCATGGGGCAGTCCCACTGGGGAAGAAAAGAGCAAGAGAGGTGGGTGGGGGCCCTCGACGAAAACCGACTGATGTAACTCAGGCAGTTTCTTGTTGCCGAGTTCAAAACTCAATCCCAACAACATGAAACTACCTAAGCCACAGATCAGCTGAACAAGCAGGGCGGGAGATTCGGCTCTGAATCTATCCGGAGGAGAAGGGAAGGGGGTTGGGGAAGGAAGAAATTCAGCCCCGTCCCCCTTTCCGCCCCCCACAACCTCCCTAAGGACCAGAGAGTAGACTTTGGGTGGCTGAGTGGGTAGGGAGTCTGATTGCCTTCATTAGTTTCTGGACTAAGCAAATTGCTCAGAGAAAACCTGGTGAAATGGGACCACTGGCCGCCAAATTCCTGCCCCACCCCACCCCCTACTCCAGCACCGCAGTGGAGCTATTCCCCTGCATCTGGTCCTGGTCCTGGAGGAAGCTGGATTGTCCTTCCACTCTGGAGCTGGGTCCCCTGTCTTGTCCATCTGGCTCTCCAGCACTCTTCTCCCAGTCTCTCTCTGATCCCCTCTCTTCTCAGCTTGATTTTAGGCTTCCTAGCACATATGGGTGACCGAACCACAGTGCCTGTTCTCTGAAGCTACTTCCAATCAGGCCACTTGCCTGGCAAAACCCCACAGGCAGGAAGCATGAGGACCAAGAGCATGGACAAGAATCACACCCACACCAGAAAAAAAAAAAAAAAGAGGCAGGAAAACCTAGGCTTCAAGCTCCAACCCTCTCTTCCACTCCCTCCTCCCCCTCCATAAGACCAGACTGAGAGACACCTAGACCGATGTGTGGACCTCGACACAACCCTAAGAACCCGCAAAGAAAAAGAAGCCAAAGCCACCAATTTACCCCCTGTAATCACCGAATCTCATAAGCAATGGGCCCCCGGAGGCGAGAAGAGGGAGCTCACAGCCGCTACCTTCTGTTGCCAGCGGCTACAAGACAAGCCAGGGCTCTCAACAAGCACGGATGTCTGAGCCACCTTCCTCCAGGCTCTGCCCGCTGCACTCCAGGCACCTGGGGACGCTGCTAGCCCCGCACTCCACTCCGCCACCAAGAGAAGAATAAGAAACCGCTTCTCTTACCTTCTCGTTGCCTCCTCCTCCTGCTGCTGTTGTAGTCTCGGTTAGCTGCTATGGATGGTGCTGGTGTATGTAGGGGAGGGGGGCTGAGCTCCTCGTGCCCCTCCGGTGGTTAAGTTTATTCCTTGGATA